CCACCCCCCCGGCCTCCTCCCACTGCCCCTGCCGGCCCGGCTACCAGCGCCAGCCCAGCAGTGGCGATGCCTGCCTGGACGTGGATGAGTGCCTGCGGGACCCCTGCCCTGGGCCCTGCCGCAACCTGCCTGGCAGCTTTGAGTGCCTCTGCCCATCTGGCTTCCTCCCGGAGGAGGATGGACGTGGCTGCCGCGCCGCACCCACCCCTGAAGAGGAGCCTGCAGGGGCACCCAACAGCACCCTGCGGACCACGGGCATCCCACAGACCACAGGCACCCTGCGGACCACAGGCGTCCTCCAGACCACGGGTGCACCATGGACCATGGGCATCCCCCAGACCCTGGGAATCCCCGCTGGGGCAACGCCGCCAGCCCCCACAGCAGTAGGGTCAGCACCTGGCCCCGAGCACAGCACTGATGGCCCCAGGCTGCTCCTCTACTACATCCTGGGCAGCCTGGTAGTCATCCTGCTACTGATGGCCTTCGCTCTGGCCCTGCTGGCCTTCAGGAGGAGGACGGCCAAACAGGAGAAACGGCCGGCCAAAAACGCGGCGGACAACTACTGCTGGGTGCCTGAGCAGCCGGAGAGCCATGGGGTGGGCGGCGAGCGCAGGTAACAGCACCTGGGGCAGCCAGGGGGGAGGCAGAGAGGGGTTTTGCAAATTAAAAAAGAAAAATAAAAGGTGGGGTGGGGGGTCTTATTCAACATGGTTTTGCATGTCCGAGAGCCTGTCCTGGGGTTCTGTGCAAAGCAGGAGCTGATCTCCCCCCATCCCCCCAAAGGCAGGTCTCAGCGCTGGGTGGGAAGGCAGCCCCAAATCAGTCCTGTGGTTTATGAAGCAGCTGCCGCTCCTCTGAGGGAAGGGTTAACAGGGACAGTGCTGCAAGTTTGGGACAGGATGAGGTTGAAGCCACCTGCCGGGGCTGCTCCTCAACTCTGCAGAACCTCAGCAAATTAGAAGTATTGATTTATCTTCCTAAAGGAAAACTGTTGATTTCCTTTCTCATTTGGTCTCCCCTACCTGTATTTGAAACGCTGACATGCAAAAGCTGCCCTTTCCCTGCAGCACCCCCAGTCTTTTGCCATCCCAAAAGCAATGCTAGTCCTCCCCCCTCGCCTGCCTGGCAGCAGGCAGCCTGCATTCAACCCTTGGTTTCAACTTGTTCTTGTTGAAATTCTTACATGTTTTGCCGGGGCAAGAACTGGTCTCTGCAGCCACAAGCAGGTGTTGTGTATTTGTTGGATTTTTTTTTGTAAAAATGTTATCACATCAGAGGTAACTGAATAAGCCTTTTTAAAACTGCATCAGCAGAGAGCTTCTCCAGGGGAGCAGACATGGCAAGGCTGGTGGAGCTATCACCCCTGCGGCTCCCCAGCCCTGATTGCACTGGGTTTGGAGCTGTGAGACAGTGATGTTCCCCCCAAGGCATCGAGCCCTGCATGGACATAACCTTAACCTATCCCTCGTGTGCAGGAGGTGCACAACATGGGGAAAGCTGGTCCCCTTGGCCTTGTAGCCAAGGGGCCAAGGCAGAGAATATATGGTAAAAAGGTATGAAAAACTATGTTTAGAAAAACTGCCTGCCTGTTTCCAGTGTATTCCATTTAAAACCACTTGCAAAACACAGAAAACAATGCTCTCCTTCAAATGCAGCCGGATGAGAGACCAGAGTTTTCCTGTTGGATCATACTTTTTGGGTAGGACCCCTTCCTGACTGCCAGGGGTCCAGGCTGCGTGCATTTTCCATTCCTCCCCCTGTAAAGAATACACTGGATGTTGTATATTTGCTAATTATTGTATATAAAACTTTCAAATCCCCTTCAAAGCAAATGCTTTCTCAGGGCGAAGTTGCTCCCCAGTCCTTCCCTGGTACCTAACTTCAGAGAGCTGTGTATACTCAGCCACTCCTGACAATGAGCTCTTTCAGCGTGAATCCTCCCCAAAAAACTAAGGGGCACAGGGGCCATTCCT